CTCAGACTGAGAAATCCTGAAACTGCCTAAAATGCCCCGTTGGCCCATGGTCACTGCCGCTCTTTGGCCTTGATTTGGATCCCAGCCTTCCAGAAGGCTCCATCTGAGGGTCCTGCCACCCATCCCTAGTCCTGGGGGAAAGTCCAGCCAACTCAGCCACTCGACTCGGGTCTTTGTGAGTACCGTTTCTTACGTGAGTGAGAACAGTATTCACTGACAATGCCTAACAGTCCTGGGCTACATGGTCAGAACGGGCGGGCACATCTGGGTGCCCCATGAGATCCTTATGTCCATTAAGTGTCAGAGTCACTACTGTTCTTGGGACCTTGTCTTTTCCTAATGAAATCAAAGGGTTGCTGGCCTGGGGAGGGCCAAAGTGGCTTGTGCAGCATCCTTCTGCGAGGGTCAGAGGAGTCTGGTTCTCAGTCACCTGAGGCGAAAGTGACCGTTTAGCTTGTGTTCTGCAAGCCAAGGAAGACTGGGTGTTCGGTATTACCTGTCTCGGGGGTCTGTGAGTTTCCGTCAGAGAGCCCTGCAATTGCCCTGATTAACCAAGAGCAGATCTCACCTGCCGACCTTAGGCCTCTGTCCTGGGTGTGCTGATGTGGTTTGGGGCTGAAACCCTTGTTTCCGTGGAGCTCCTCCGCTAACTCGCAGACCTGCCAGTCCACTGCAGCAGACTAACCGCCAGGCTCAGTGCACATTGTAGGTTGTCAGCTTCTCGGCGGTCGGGGTAGTTTTTTCCAGCATCTTTTTATATTTCATTATTTTATTCTTTCAGAAAAACAGTTCTTCCCTGATTATCTTGACTATTGGGCTCTAAGGGAGACAGAAATGAAAACATCAGTGAGATGTTTTTATTTCGTCAGTGAGAACGCAGGCTCTCCGCGGAGCCTGAGGCCCAGACTCCCCCCTCAGCGGCCTTCCCCTCGCCTCTCAGCAGACATGGAGTCAGTGCCGCCAGCCTAACTCTTGTCCTTCTCCTGCCCCTCCGTCCTAAGGGTCAGCTTGTCGGCCACAGACTGTTACATCGTGCACGAAATCTACAATGGGGAGAACGCACAAGACCAGTTTGAGTATGAGCTGGAGCAGGCCCTGGAAGCCCAGTACAAGTATATCGTGATCGAGCCCACCCGCATCGGTGACGAGACCGCCCGCTGGATCACCGTGGGCAACTGTCTGCACAAGACCACTGTGCTGGCGGGCACTGCTTGTCTCTTCACCCCATTGGCACTGCCCTTAGATTACTCCCACTACATCTCCCTGCCCGCTGGCGTGCTGAGCCTGGCCTGCTGTACCCTCTACGGAATCTCCTGGCAGTTTGACCCTTGCTGCAAGTACCAAGTGGAGTACGATGCCTATAAACTGTCCCGCCTACCCCTGCACACACTCACTTCCTCCACCCCCGTGGTGCTGGTCCGGAAGGACGACTTGCACAGAAAGAGACTGCACAACACGATAGCGCTCGCCGCCCTGGTGTACTGTGTAAAGAAGATCTACGAACTCTATGCCGTATGATTTCAGTTAGAACGGGGAGAGAAGCCAACAACCCAGCCCACGGGAGACAAGAGTATTCAGATTGCACAGTAACATTTTTTTTGCTCCGTGAGACAATGGAGCCCGGGAAGGTGTTTGGTTTAATAGCTGTTATTTTTAAAAAATAACACATCACAAATGTACCAAGGGTTTTTCCAATTCATCACACTAAGATGTGGATTTCGGTAACCCACAAGGGTGTCTGTGGAAGTCTGGGCAGTGGAATGTTGATGGAAGCCGAGGGGGTGTGAATGTGCTTGGGGTGGGGGTCTTTAAGTACACTGTTTAACTGTACCATCCAGAGCCAACCAGAAGCTATTGACCATTAAAATTATGAGAATTTCAACTTCAGGTGTCTTTTCTTTCCATGACTGCCCGCAGCAGCTGCTGCAGTCTGCCTGTGGTGGGGCACCACGGAAGCTGCCCTGCTCCTTGGATAGGGTGCCAAGGCCTAGAGGTCACTGGGTCTCTATTGGGGTTCATGTGGAGAACTAGGGCCTGTGACCTCTTGTCCAGATTCTGATTCAGGAAGACAGAGAAACTAACGTCTGCGTATTTTTAAAGCACTGATGTGTACCGAGTTCAACCCACTGCCCGAGGCTGAAGGAGGAGCCCCCAGGACGCCTCTGCAGCACCCTCACCTGCCTGGCAGGCGCCCCCATTCCACAGGCGCCGACTCTTCTGCTCCACCCTCCCCACGACAGGCCTAGTATGTGTCATCTTCCACGTTCCCCCTGCGGCTCTGGGTAAATGGAAGTCACCCCTCCACAGAGAAGTGGGGCCCCTGCCTTAGCTGCAGCTTGACGGCCTCCGCCCTCAGCCATCCTCGACGAGCTCCGTAGCGCTTCCTTATGAAGGGCCCATCTTTCAGAGGCAACCAGACTAATTTTCCACGTACTTTTAAAGGATCCATTTGGCAGATCTTACAAGGGAGTAATGAAGGGGTGCATAAGGTGTCAAGGGGGTGACTCGGCTCTCTCTTGCACAGAGCGAGCCAGAGCTTTAAAAAGATTTCAAAAGGGACCCAGGGCCACCAAGGTTGAGAAACTTAATTCCAAGGGCCCTCGAGATACTAATTCCGTGGAGTGCCAGGGGCCAAAATAGTGCTGGGCAAACAGGACTGCCCACGTGGTAGTCGGGCTGTCTAGGTCGTAGTGAACTGGTAGTGGCGGAGCAGTGCCCATGACTGCTTGGGTGTTTGCTGGTCCCTGGGCTGGCTGGGTGGGCATGGCAGGTCTCCTGTAACCACCCAGCTCTGGAAAGGAGTCCCGGGCCCTGCCTGCAGATCGGATTTCACGGGGGAGGCGTCCGGAAGCAGACAAGCAGTGACCGTCTCAGGTCAGCTAAGCAGAAGCCCTCACCAGAAACGGGAGCCGGGTGCACTGAACAAAGTGATTCCAGATTCTGAAATGCCACTGCAATTCTGTGTCCCTTCCCAGAGAGAAGAGGACATGGTGGTGTGAACCACAAGGCAGGGGTGTGTTCCAGGACTCCAGGCTGTGCCCCTTGTGGGCAGGAAGGAGAGCAGCAGAGCCACGCCTGCCAGGTCTAGATGGCCTGTCCTGCTGTGGGTACTGACTAACCTGTTCTGCCACCTTCTACATAGACGTCGCTGACAAGTGGGTAATGCCCACGTGTAATATGCCACAATACTCTCGAAGAAACGTTAAATAATTGCCAACTGAGAGAAAGCGGAGACATGTTAGCTGGGCTCTCCTCTGCAAAGTCCACATACACGAGTCCTGTGTGTGTACTATTTCAGTGAATGGATCATGCAGTCAACCTGGTACCTGAGTCTTCTTTTAACTGCCCACCTCACTCCAATTTCAGAGAAGAGCAAGAGCCCAACTCATCAGGAAATGAGGAGCAGGCCCTGGCACACTTTTCCTATGTCTCTGTCCTTGTTACAATCTACCTGCCATCTCTCCAAAGTAGTGTTCGCATCCGGTTCAGCAGCTCAGTCCCTGATGAGGAAGGGAAGGGAAGCTCTCTTTCTCAGTGCCTGCTGGGGACCAGGCAGTGTACCCAGGGAGCTGTGTACTCACGCCATCAAATGGTGTGTGAGCCGCTGTCACTCGGAGCACAGATGTGCAGTGCTGCCGTCTGGAAAAACTCATTTGGCTTTGTTCTGCAAACTCTGATTTTAGCAGACGCACAAGACGGCTTGCTTCTGCTCTAGGACCAGTGAAACACCAGCAATCTTGAACAGTAAAGTGGAAAGTACCTTCGAACTTTATGCGAAGGCAGAACTAATTGAAAATCATGCTTTTCAAACCTACCCAGCAGAATTCAAGGATGAAAGAGATGGGAAAACAAACTTTGAGGGCAGAGAAGGGAAACTGGAATACCACTACCACTGGTGGCAGATGTTCATGTTCAAACGTGGGTTCAGGACTCCCAAGATTCAAAGGCCAGGCCATTCCTGGCCCAGCTCCCATCTTTGGGGTATTCCTGGACGGGGCACATGTGCCCTCAGGAAGGTGCTGCATTGCCATCCACATCGCCACCACTCACGCAGGCTCCATAGGCCTTTACCCAAGCAGTGTTCTCTCCAGGGAGGGGTGCGGAGCTCCAGAGGTGCCCAGAGGGCTTTAGGGACATCGAAGAACACTGCAACTGGCCCTTTTTAGTCCTCGCCTTTGTCCTTGAGGCTACCAGGAGCATCTGGCAGGGCGAGCACCTTCTTACCTCTGATATTGCCCATCTGCTCACAAGCAGGTGGCCTTTAGATGTGGCCTTTGGCAGACAGTGGATTTAGCAAGATTTTAATGGTTCTGTTTGTGTTAAACTATTTTCTATTTGTATGGTAGAATACAAAGTTTCTAAAGTTGAGTTTTAGAAAGTGAGTTTTAAAAAAACGTTAGATAAGGAAATATTCGGTGGTATTTGAATACGCCCCGAGTGTCACACGCAGGCGGAGGCCCTCTCTGCCCGTCCCAAGATCCGTCCCCAGCCCACGCCTGTGCGCCAGGGCTCCGTAGGCCAGTGCCGCAGTGGCCTCAAAACCAGCCGCCTCCGCGACACGGCTGATGCCGACGGCAGAGTATGCGCTCGACTGACGCTCCTCTTTCACTTCAGGAGGGAGGTGGATGATTTCAGAGAAAACTAAAAAGCCACCCATCAGGTCTGTAGCCACATCGCAACCACAGGCCCCTGGAATGTTGGGATGGGACCCCCAGATCTAATCCACTCCTTGTCCTCCCACTTCCGGGAAACTTGAGAGCCTTGTGCACCGACACTACGGGCTGCCTTTGGCCATTATGTTGAGGGTGACAGTTTAAAATACAAGCTCCATAGGTCCACAGTTAGAATGTAATGTAAGATAACTGCAATATGCTAGGAAATTTTTACTCCAATTCTGGGAAGCCTGAATGGTGGACCCACAATTTCCACTGTCAGCTTCAGTAACGAGGAAAGTTTCATCCTAAAGCTGTGTATGAAGCTAATTTATTCAACGAACCTCAACCATATATTGTTAACAAGGTGGAAAGGCGGACACGGGCACCCTTCCCGGCCCCTCTGCCACTGTCACAGCTAACACACAGGCTGCTTTCGGGGGCAGGCGCAGCTGTCGAGCCCTCCCCACTGCACGGGGCTTCTGAGTCTCACACTAGAGGACACACGGGACCATGGGGACGTTCCTTCCCCTCTTGGCTCTCATCTCCTTAGGAAGTTCACCTTCTGCCTGGAGTGGTGCCTGGCCCTATAAGCTTTGGGTGGGAGTCAACAGGGAACCTGGGAATTGCTTTTTGGTACTAAAGCCATCATCACCCGGGATATGTCATATGATCACATGTTAGCCCTTTGCTGTGCTGAATGAGATATTGTAGGATCCTGGGAATGGATATGAATAATGCCACCTTAAACTATAGCCTTTTCCTTTTACTACTAGAAGCAGACTCTGCCAGACCAATTAGGCAAGTGACCTTGGGTCAGTGAAACATGAAAACAACTGGGTCAAGGTGATGTCAGGCTGTCTTCTGATGTCCTGATTGAAAACCTTTCTAGGAGCCGGTGGAGGCTAGAATTCCAAGGAGGCATAGTTGTTCTAGTCCATAAGGACTATGACTCTTAGTGTTCCATTCCTTTATTTCATATTCTCAGCATTAAAACCCAGCTCCACATTGACTCCTTAAGGGTTATTACCCTGCACTGCTGGGAAGACACCTTTTTTGTTTCCCATTCTCAGCCAGCAGGGGTCTAGGCATCTGTAGGACACATGTACCTTGATCTTTCCCATCTGTGAGACAAATACCCAGCTCTGCATGGAACTAGGAGTTCTTGGATTTCTGCTCCTTTCTGGCCCGGGAGGCCATGAGGCTGAAGAAGAGGTCAGGAGCCAGAGTTCGCAGATATATGGCCAAGGAAGGCAATAGGTCAGCCAGGATCACGTCTTTCTTTTTCTTCAACACAGCAGCCAGAACCTCTTGGGCCACCTCCACAGGCGTTCGGCCGTGGGCCGTGGTCTTGTCCATAACTAAAATAAACGAAAGAAACACATGACCTTGGAAGCAGAAGTCCCTGTTTGGAGTTGAGCTGCCAAGGACCATGGTTTGGTAGGCTTGCCAGATTTCCCATCAGGCTCCTCCCCGTCAGGAGGCAGGTGGTACACCGCCATCCTTGACTCTCCTGTACTTCAGGAAATGAGGACCAGTTCTATGGCTCAGCATGTGAGCTGGATAAGAGAGATGTGGGTAGAGCATGGGAATAAGGAAGATGCCTCAGTAAGTGCTCAGAGCTGGTCTACAACAAAGGATGAAGACCAGCCTGGATGGGGGTCTCACACCACAGTTGAAGAGAGGCTTCCTGACCTTAGGCATTTTTGCCTTTTGAAACCACTGACTAAGGATGTTGAACCATCAGATTCAACTTGGGTGGCCTGGCTTGAGTTCTGCCAAGCAAGGGTGGAAGAAAACCATGATGCCAATGTGCACTACAGGCTCACTGAGGTGACACTGAAGAAATGTGTCAGAAGGGATGTCACACCCAAGGTCGTGCGTTAACTGATGTGGAGCAGGAGAAAAGTCCTTGGTTGGTTTTGGGTGTTAGAGTTGCTGTTGGGAGTTTAGGAGGTGTTAGGCTGGTTAACAGCAACTGATGTTTCTTGTTCCCTAGTAATCTGACAATTTTCCCAACCGGTTTGGCCGGCATAGAGGAGAGGCCACTATCACGGACCACTAGAAACCAATTGTGGACTTCCAGTCAAGATGGAGGCGTGGTAAACATGCTTCACTTCCTCGCTCAACCACAAAAAAGAATTACAACTAAACCTCAAAACAGATAACACCCACAACTTTCAGAAAATCAAATTGTATGGAGTTCAACAACCAGGGATTGAAAAAAGCCACATTTGTCCAGGTGGGTAGGAGGGGTGAAGACCCACGATGGCGGTGGTGGAACGGGCACAGGCAGTCCCACATTCATGTGTGGTGGATAAAAATTGGGAGGGATACTTTGGAGTGAGCAATTCCAGCCCCAGGCCACACCACACAGCACAGGGTTCCAGCACCAGGAAGATACATCCCCATAACTTCTGGCTGTAAAAACAAGTGGGGGTTGGGGAGGCAGAAGAAACCGCCAGATTTTCAGGAAACTGCTTAAAGGGCACGCACGGTCTTAAAAAAATACACGAAACCCACCCACTCAGATTCAGCATCGGGGCAACAGCTGGAAAGGCACGAATCACATATGGGGAGTCGGTGAAGTGACTGGAAATGGGGCAGGTGCTGGGCAAACCCCCCAGAAGCCAGGCAGCAGCACTGCCCCCTCTCTGAGCCCTCCCCACACAGATCCACAAAGCGGTGAAGCAGGTTGCCCCACCCTAGTGATTACCTAAGGCTCCGCCCCACACAATTTACAGGTGCCTTTCACAGGGAGTCAAAACAGCTCTGCCTAATATACAGAAACAAACAGAAGGAGGCTGCCAAATTGAAGAGACAAAGAAAAATGGCCCAAATGAAAGGACAGAACAAAACCCCATAAAAAACTAAATGAAATGGAGATAGCTAACCTATCAGATGCGGAGTTCAACACACTGGTGATCAGGATGCTCAAAGAACTCACTTAGTACGGCAACAACATAAAGGAAGAAATGATGGTTACACTAAATGAAATAAAGAAAAATCTACAGTGAACCAACAATGAAGAGAAGGAAGCCAGGATTTAAATCAATGATTTGAATCATAAGGAAGAAATAAACTCATACAGAACAGATAGAAGAAACAATTAAAAAAAAAAAAACGAGGATAGTATAAACTGAAAACTTACTTGAAAAAGTAATGAAAGAAAACTTCCCTAATTTGGTGAAGGAAATAGACATACAAGTCCAGGAAACACAGAGAGTCCCAAACAAGTCGACCCAAAGAAGACCACACCAAGACACATCATAATTAAAATGCCAAAGGTTAAAGATAAAGAGAGAATCTTAAAAGGAGCAAGAGAAAAGTAGAGAGTTACCTACAAAGGAGTCCCCATAAGACTATCAGATGATTTCTCAAAGGAAACTGCAGGCAAGAAGAGACTGGCAAGAAGCATTCAAAGTGTTGAAAAGCAAGGACCTACAAAGCCTGATTACTCTGTCCAGCAAAGCTATCATTTAGAATGGAAGGGCAGATAAAGTGCTTCCCAGATGAGGTAAAGCTAAAGGAGTTCATCGTCACCAAGCCATTATTACACGAAATTTTAAAGGGACTTATTTAAAAAAAAAAAGAGAGAGAGAATTATGAACATTAAAAAGGCAACAATTTCACAACTATCAACAACTGACTCTAAACAGAAAAACAAACAAACAAAACTAAGCAAACAACCAGAAAAGGCAAAGAATCACAGGTATGGAGATCATTTGGAGGGTTACCAGTAGGGAGATGGAATGAGGATAATGGGGGGGAAGGTGCAGGAACTAGAATAGACAGGGAGTTGTTAAGAATAGTATAGGAAATAGAGAAGCCAAAGAACTTACATGCACGACCCGTGGACATGAACTAAGGTGGGCGGGGGGCGGTATTGCTGTAGGGAAGGGGGGGTACCTGGTGGAGGGGGGCAAAGAGGGAAAAATTTGGACAACCGCAATAACATAAACAATAAAATATACTTTAAAAAAAAGCCAAAACCATTTGTAAGTTATCCAAACTGCCTGTTTCCTACCAGCATGTGTTCTCATCATGTTTTTGTTAACTCAGAAGAATAGGAGGTTTCTGACTGCTGCTTATTTTTAAATGCCACAGAGGAAATTTTTAAAAATTCTTCTGAGTATAAATAATATAAATACGAATCTCTCTCGATCTGTGCCTCTGTCTGGTTTCTACTGACTTGCCGAGTGAGAGAGCAGCGGCCACCCAGGGCGTGGGCAGCCTGGGTTCGGGCTGGGCCGGGGTGAGTGTAGGAGCTGGAGGCCCCTGATAAACGGACAGCACAGGCCCAAGAGATCACATCCAGGGAGGCAAAACAGAAGACAGCACTCAAGGGGTAGGCAGGCTGTATTTGAGCTTGGGAAGGCGAAGCTGGCTTCCATAGCAGCAGCGCCCAGGGGTCAACCTACCTGAGAGACAAAAACTGACTGGTCCCTGCTCGGCCTGCCCGCATCCTGGGGCCGTGCAGTTGGGCTCACTAGTGGTGACTGCCGTTCAGCTCAGCACTGTTGTTGGCTGAAGCGAGGAGAGTCCAAGATGGGTGCACCTAGCCTAACCCCACAAGATTGGGCTCGCTGCTTTGAGTACCCTGAAATCAGTTTTTCTCAAGCTTAGTGGGTGTGGAACCCTTTGGGTCAAGCAACCCATAGTTTCCATAAGGTTTATTCACTTTAACTTCCCTTTAGTTAATTGACAATGGGTTTACTGGAAGCCTGGCCGCATTTCAGCTTGGGAACTTCCTTGCCAGCCCTCAAAGTCCTGGCCTGCAGGGACCCTGTCCGATAGCTGCAAAGCGCGGTCCATGGTCAATGAAGATTATTCAGCATATAACCAACACTCATAAGTGTTTTCAATTTAAAATTATATTCAACGAATGGGCAAAGAATCATCAGGTAAGAGCAGAGTGTCTCACTGTGGCTGACCAACAGCTTTTTATAAAAGAAGAGGCCTGGCTAGTGTGGCTCAGTGGGTTGAGCACCAGCCTGTGAACCAAAAGGTCACTGGTTCGATTCCCAGACAGGGCACATGCCTGGGTTGTGGGCCAGGTCACCAGCTGGGGACGTGTGAGAGGCTGCAATCCATGCATCTCTCACATCACTATTTCTCACCCTCTCTTTCTCCCTCCCTTACTCTCTAAAATTAAATAAGTGAAATCTTAAAAATAAAAACAACAGAACCCCCCCTGGGGCCTCACCTCCATATCTGGAGCCGTCGGCAGTGATGGCATTGAGAGAGAGGTTGGTGTGGATGTAGCCGGGGCTGATGACGGTCACCTGGATCTCGTGCTGCTCCATCTCGGCACGCAGACAGTCAAAGAACGCCTGGGTCGCGTGTTTAGAGGCGGCATCTGCAAGGGGTGACGGCCAGAGTGGGTGAGTGGGCCGGTGCGGCGTGTGGCCTGGGTGGGGTAAGACCAAGTGTTCATTCCCGGTCATGCCCTGTCTTTAACTGGTTTTATAATTTAAGATTGTAAAATTACAATATTGCAGCAGTTTTCATCTCCTTATTTCAAGAAGTACATTTTGTCCTTGTTTTTAGGGAACACCCTGAAGTATTTAGTAGGAAAAGAGCAACATGCCTCCAACTTTCTTCAAATGGTTCAAGAGAGAAAAATCATAAATTTCATACATCATACACATGCATATATACACACAGAGAATATGATAAAGGAAATATGTTTTATGATAAATATAAAATCTGCATAACTGGGGAATCTGCATGAAGGGTACAATAAGAATTCTTTGTACTGATCCTGAAACTTTTAAGTCAGAAATTATTCCACTTTAAAAGGGAAAAAAACCCCTGCCTCCCCCCCAAAACACAAACTACTCAATGCCTAATGGGTAAAACATTCAAATTCAAATAATACAGAAGGATATAAAGTAAAAAAGTACAAGTCCTGCCTTCCAATTTCAATCGCCAGAGATAACCAACACTAATGGTGTCTCAGGATTTATTTTTTATATATCCTGTGTACATATGCATATCTGTGATTTTAACAGAAATGAGCTGATACTGTTCATATTATTCCTGCAAGTAGCCTTCTTCACCTGGTGAAAACAGGCTGGACAGCCTCCATGCCAGCCATGCAGACTTGCTATGCCCCTCTGTGCATCCCTGGACTTCAGAACTGGCCCTTTACAGTCGTTCCATGTTTTATCATTGAAGCTGTGCTATTTATTAGTGAGCACCCGTGCATGCATGGGAGCCTGTGCCTAAAATCTGAGACTGATTCTCTTAATGTATTTTGTTTAACGAATTTCCATCCAGTGGCTTTTCATCCGAAAAAGCTACCAAGCTTGCTCCGCCTCCAAGAAACAGAGCTACCTCTGTTCTTCTGTGATGGCTCCACAAAAGGAGGAAAGGGGTACAGTGACCCTACAATGACATTCTGGGGAAATGCACGGCATCTGCACTGAAAATCAGTGTCCTCCCATTCAGAGCTCTAAGCGTTTCAGCCTTAGGAAAGGGGATCCATTGGCCAACAAAACAGGAGGGAGAAAACAGAGGAAATGTCACAGCAAGTCACATGAGAAATCCAAGCGTCTGAACTCGCTACCGTGCCTTCTGGAGCCAGCTTCTTTGGTTCAGGCCACATGGCGCAGCCACAGCAGTAGGCTGTGGGGCGGTGGGTGGAAAGAACTGTCCCCATCAGAGTGATCCCGGAAGTGCTGCCCGCGCCCAGGGACTACAAGTAGGGAGTCACTCGGGGGCCCCCAGAACAGAAGGCCGCGCCCTGACCACCACGTCTCCCAGAGCTCTCAGGCTGCAGGCCGTCGGCCAGGCTCTGCTGACCTGCTCATCACTGAAGGGACAGTCCTCAGCCCTCCTGCCCACCAGGCACAGTGCTCAGCATGCCGCCCGGGTCACCTGACCTGGCCCTCATGACACTGGCGTGAGGGGGTAACGCTGCCCTCCCGCCTCATGAGGAGGCCGCTGCTCGCCAGCACTCGCCGCTGGGCTCAGGAGGCACTGCCGCGTCCCAGCTGGTCTTCGTAAAGGGTCCAGGCCAGCCATGTGTGACCTACTAAAGTCACAGGCAAAGGGGAGGTCAAAATGCAGATTAAAGTTTCAAAATAGTTTCATACCAAGAACATGGTATATCTTTTACCCTGACTTACCTATTGTTAATAGTTAGCCTCATTTGCTTTATTATTTGTGATTTTATATAAATATATAAATTCCCGAACTGTTTCAGCAGCCTTAGATGACTGTCCTACACTAATGGAGTTGAAAACAGAAATAACAACCATAGGAACTAATATAGATACAGTGACTCACAGTTTCCAGAGGACGTTTTCTTAAAGATTTTTTTTTAAAGGTTCCATTTATTTATTTATTTTTAGAGAAAGGGGAAGGGAGGGAGGAAGGGAAAGAAACATCAGTTGTGGTTGCCTCTCATGCACCCCCTACTGGGGACCTGGCCTGCAACCCAGGCATGTGCCCTGACTGCGAATTGAACCAATGACCCTTTGGTTCGCAGGCCAGTGCTCAATCCACTGAGCCACAGCAGCCAGTGCCTAAATATTTTTTTAAAATTAATTTTTTTAGACAGAGGGCAAGGGAGAGAGAAAGAGGGAGGAAAAGATGACTGTGCAAAAGACACCGTCCCCCCTGCTCCAACAGGGGGCCTCGCCCTCAACCCAGGCATGTGCCTTGACTGGGAATCACAACGGCAATCTTGGTTTGCAGGCCGGCGCTCAGTCCACTGAGCCACACCAGCCAGAGCTACAAAGGGCTTTTCACCTCTACCTGTCTTTAAAACAGCTTTGCGAAGTAAGATGATTGTAAGACTCATTTCACAAGAAAGGAAACAGAGAGTCAGACAAGTTAAACAACTTGCCTGAGGACATACAACTAGAACCAAAAAGTAGAGCGGGGTTCAGAAAGAAAGAGTGAGTTTCTGTGACATTTCCAGGTCAGACAGCGGGATGTCTGTCCGCTCGTCTCAAAGTACTGAAGCAGCTCTGCTCCCTGGCCCTCCCAGCCACGTCTGCCGGGCGTGGCTGAGTCGAGCATTCGGAGGCTGTAAGAGTGAGAGCCGCTGAGTCAGTTTTAAGTATTTACTTCCAAAGGGTAGAGCAAAGAACGGAGTTAGCAAAACAATAAGTCTGTGAAATTACCTATGAAATCTCTTAAGAAAACTAGAGTGTTTGCTTGCTGGTGCTACAGGATGGCAGACAGATGAATCAAGTGGTATCTCAAAATTCCGGCACGGCCACTCGCATACATGGAGCTGAAGTGCGACTTGCAAGTCAGTGCAGCAGCTTTAATTATTTGGTCTAACCCGTTTCCACTTTTGGGAATTTATTTTACTGAAACTCTCCTGTGAGTGCTTAAAGATATAAATATTTAAGGATGTTCTGTGTAGTATATAACTGTTAATGGTCAAAGACTGAAGGGGAAAAAATCCTCAAGTGTCCAGGAAAATGGCTAAATAAATTATGTCATATATCCATTCAATGAATTACTATAGATCCACTTAAAAGGATTAGGTAAATCCATATATGTTGACGTAGAAAGATATACTGTCATGTGAAATAAGCAAGTCACAAAACAGTAGGCATAATGTGACCCTACCTTCATATGTTTGATCATATGTAGAAAAAGCTTGGAGGCCTATGCCCAGAGGGACAGGAAGCGACAGTACCTGAGGGGCAACGCTCACGGCAACTGCCACCCACGCAGCATGGCACGTGACCTGGCGCCGCTCCCGCCACTTCACTCAGCAGAGCCCCGTCTCCGCGTTGCAGATGAGGACGGGGGTGCAGAGTTGTGGGGACACTTGCACAAGGTCGCATGTAGGGGGCAAGGAGTAGACCTGGGATTTGAACCTAGACGTTCTCTGCTCAGAACACTGATGAAGTTCCTTCATCTTCTGTATTGAGTATTTCTCTAATGTCTGCTTTCTGGACAGAATGTATGGGATTTCTATTACGAGGAAAAAACAAAAAGGAAAACATGTGAGGGAGGAAGAAGGAAGTACTCACATGCAGATCGGAAAGGAATGCTGATTTTGCCCTGGATGCTGCTGATGGCTACGATGTGGCCCTGTCGCCTGTGGATCATGGCGGGCAGGAGTGCTACGGAGAGAGGTCAGGCTTTAGAAGGGGGCTTTTCTTCTGGTCGCTGAGAGGGGGTGGCCTCACTTGTTAAATTTCATCGGATCAGAGGAGGTGAACGGTTAAAGCCCTCCCTGGGGAGGCCCAAGCTTTGTAGGAGCTCTGGGCCTCCCGTGCCTGGCGGACTTCCAGCGAGCAAGTGGTGGGGTCAGGGGGGCGCCGAGAGCGGCAGATCGAAGCCCAGTCGCGAACGGCCGGCTCAGTCCCTTCCCCAGGGAGAGCTCTCTCCTGGACTGAAATCATGCCTGGACATAAGAATACCTCCACTTTGTAGGAGTTTACAAACGTCACTAAGAGAAAATGGAGGCAATGCTGTACAGATGAAGCTGTCACTGAGGAAAGCATCTTGATTTAGGGCTAGAAAGCAGATAAAGAAAATGCAAATAAAATCTGGAAACAGCCAGCACCCAACCACCTTTTCCAGGGCAGGAGAGGATGAGGTCAGGCAATACTTAGCTAACAAAGCGCCAAGTGATGAAAAAACCCAAACACATCAGTGTTCTTTTTTCTTTCATCTAAGACTGTCACCTTTCGTTAGAGCTACTGGGCCAAAGTAGTTTGTCTCCATGACTCTCTTGTCCACGTCCGTGGAGGTGTCTATGATGGCGCCGCGGTAGCTGACCCCAGCGTTGTTGATGAGCACGTCCACGTAGCCGAAGCACTGCAGGATCTCAGCTGTTGCTGCAACGAGGGCCCCAGGGTCTGTGAGGTCGAAGGTCACCGTGAAAGGTTTGTGTGTCTGCACCTGGTCAGATATGACAGAAACCAAATGCACCTTCAGAGTGATAGGCCATGTGAACCACGTGTCCCTGCTGTTCAGAGTTGGGGTGGCCCGCTGGGCATGAAATGGCACAGGCAGAGGCACCTCTATTCTGAAGAGATGTGGCCAAGGGGATCCTGCCTATAGTGATTTCACCTGACCCAGGCAACTTTTTCTCCTGAAGTGAAAAGTATTGTTCGAGCCAGACAGTAAGCTCCACAGGACATGTATCACATAGGGTACAGGCTATGGTGCAGACTGCCACAGGCGCTATTGATCATCGCTCCCTTGCACCAGCATTGTGCTGCGTACTGTAACGGATTAAGAAGCGACCCTGCTGAGAGGCACTATTCTTCTCAGGTTAAGTCACTTTAATTTATTTGTCCATGAAACATCTTCTGTATGTCCCTATGTGCCCAACATTGCGGACACGACAGACAACCAGATGGACAGGGTTCTTGTCCTCCTGAAACATACAGTCTAGTGGGGAAGACAAACTGTAAAGAATGCCACAAAGAAGTGTAAGAGACTAGAGAAGCGAATAATTGAGCGATCTAACTTAGAGGGCTTCCCAAGTGAGTTTAACTACAGAACAAAAAGATGGGGCCTCAGAGAGGAGGGCAGAGGTGCCAGGACTCCATTCTTCTCCCTGGGCAACTGTACTGACAGAGGGTCTCTGAAGCGGCACCTCAGTACTCGTCTTTAATTTGTTCTGAAACATGTGATGAGTGCCGAAACCGACAAGCACGGAACTGTTCACGAGCTACGTGAGAGGGACACCTCCACCGCGGTTCCATTTTGAGAGGGGCCCTGAGTGGCGGGCAAGCACCAGGCGCTGAAACACTTTCTTCTCGTCAAAATGTGACAAGTACAGGGTTTGATGAGTTTGGAAGCGGACAAGTACCGAGGTTTGACTCTATTTTGGAACTCTGGAATCCATGTGAATGCTTGCAGCTTTCAGGAGAGTGCCTGGCTGGCCAATTAGAGAGTTTTGGTCATTTTTAGCCATCTTCTCAGTGGTGGCCAACCATCCCGAATCCACCCGGCCCTGTGGCAGTCAGCCGTGGGGAAGACGGCTGAACACTTCTGGTGTGGCTCGAGGGGGCCGAGGCAGGCAGTAAGACCTTGCCTTCCAAATCTCTGCGTATCGTTCTGATGGTGGATTGCTGCTCTGAGCACTGAGGTGCAGCGTGGAGGCAGAGTGGCATCTTTCAACCACCACTAGCTAAGGTGGCTTCCAGTAGATTTAAAGAAGTCACATATTTTTCTTTGGTATTAAAAAAATATACATAAATTCCCAGAAAACATACCTGCGGAAGCCCAAATGATGGGCTTCATACTAGAAAAAGACTTTAAGATGACTGTCTTAAAGGTGCTGAAAATACTAGGAAAAACATGGACAAAGGCAGAAATTGATGTGAGTATAAACAAAATGAAAATATCAATAAAGAAATAGAAATTACTTAAAAAACTTTGGAACTCAGAAGTACAATAACCAAAATGAAAAATACACTAGAGGGTTTCACTAGGAGATCTGAGTTACTAGAAGAGATAATTAGTGAGTTTGTAGACAGAATAGCTGAAATTATCAAGTCTGAGAACAAAAATAAAATGAGAATGAAGATAACTAAACAGAACCTAAGGGATAGATGGGTCACTATCAAGTGGATTGATATATGCATTGTGGGAATCTGAGGAAAAGAGAAACAGGGGTAGAAAGAATATTTGAAGAAATAATTGCTGAAAAAAATTAATGAAGAACATGAATCTGCACATCCAAGAAGCTGAATAACAAATACGATGAAAATGAGATTCAGTCAGACACATTTCAATAAACTGTCAAAATACAAAGAATTCTGAAAACAGCAAGACAGAAGCTACTCCTTACATAAAAAAGATCTTCAAAAAGATTCATCACCTGACTTATCACAAACTTTGGAGGCCAGAAGGCTGTTTATCAAAGTGCTAACATAAAACAATTGTCAACCAAGAATTCTATATTTGACAGAACTTCCTTTCAAAACTGAGAGAGAATTTAAGATTCTAAGATTAAACGAAAGATGAGGAAGTTTGTTACCACTGGACCTGCCCTGCAAGAAATACTAAAAGGAACCCCTCAGGTGTGAAATGAAAGGAAGCTATAGACAGTATGATTTAAAGCCATATGAAGAACTAAAGATCGCCAGTAAATTAAATACACAGGCAATTTAAAAAGCTGACATTGTATTTTAAAAAAATAATAAATGAAAGCTAGTACTACTGTAACTTTGGTTTGTAACTCTACCTTTTATTTTCAACATGATTTAAAAACATGTATTTAAAAACTATTATTAGCACTGGCTGGTGTGACTCAGTGGATTGAGTGCTGGCCTGGTAACCAAAGGGTTTCCGGTTCAATTCCCAGTCAGGGCACGTGCCTAGGTTGTGGCTCTGGTCCCCGGTGTGGGGTGCATGAGAGGCAACCACACATTGATGTTTTTCTCCCTCCCTTCCTCTCTCTCTAAAATTAAATAACATCTTTAAAAAAACTATTATTAATCTATGTTACTGGATAAGCAATGTATAAAGACAAAATCTGTGACAAATAGCAGAACGGGGAGGACAGAGCTGTACAGGTATAGAGCTTTTGTACACTATTAAAATTACGTTGGCATGGATCCAAGAGAGCAGCAGAGTAGGTGGACGGTATACCCACCTCCTTCCAGGACCAAATTGTAATTACAAATAAATTATGGAATAACCATCCTCAGTAACCGACTGAAGACTATCGGAAGGTTAGTATCAAGACTGGTAGGAAGGGTGGACACGTGGAAAGGGATGGCCTCGTCCCATGCGCGGTGGCTGAGGTTCCAGAGGGATATCTCAGATACAGAGTGTTCCTGCTGAGAAGTGTGGGGGCTCACTCCCAAGCCAAGCTCCCCAGCCCAGAGCACCAGAGCTGGAAGAGGTGCCTGCGTAACGTCTGGCTGCGAAAGGCAGTGGGGATTCTGTCCATCAGTGAGAGACAGGAGTCTCCTAGAGACACAAGCACCCTCTTAAAGGGCCAGTGCACATAATTTCGTTTGTAGCCACTTACCCTGGACGCCAGCGGAGGGCGGGTGGACCAGACTAGAGTCATGTGGGAGTCTGCGGTGTGTGGCTCTGGGGAGAGAGCTCAAGGAGTAGCTGTCAGCATCCCTGTGCAGAGTCATTCTCCCACACCGCAGACGCCATGTTTCTTAGGTGCACAATCCTCTTCATATGGCATCAGTCTCAGAGGAATCATTGGTCCCCCTTCTGGATGCCCTGTTGCCCCACTCTGTGTAGCGTATGCCTGCTTAGGAGTCAGCTGCCTTTTACGGGGCGTAGAGTCCTGGGCAGACTCAGGGAACATCAGTGCTTTGGAGCAGGGGTCATTTCTCCCACTTACCCAAGAAGCCAACTGGTGCTTCCTCCTCATTAAAGACCCTCTACCCCGACCTTCTGGTCCCCACTTGTCTGACTTCTAGTGGCTTCACCCTGCCAAGGCTGAGCAGAATCCAGGACTGACTGGGTTGTTTGGCCATGGGGTGGGGCCACCGTTCCAACTTTCCACGAAGCCTGACTAGCACATCCACCATATGGGAGATCCACTAGCCCCATCCTCCCTCTCACAGAGACCCTACCCCTACAGAGCTCATTTTCCCCTTGCAGGCCCAAGCAGGACAGAACCCTCCCTTCACACGGCCAAATATTGGTCTGCTTGGGCCTGCTAAGCTCTCCTGGCCTTGCTCTGATGACTCCCTGAGACCCCACCACACCACAAAGGTGTGCAAGCACCCAGGGGGTGGCAGCTAGACTTGGTTACCCTGGGACTTTTGCTGAGTGGCCTCAGACCCAGAACTGGCACTGAGTTTGAACCTGTATCAGCCTGGTGAACACCACTCACCCCTACCTGGTGACTCAATGAGAAGCTACCTAACACAACTTGATACCGCCAGAGGCCCTTTCAGTGACTGAGCCTAACAGGCAACCAGCAGGCAGAGATAGGCGGAGGCAGATCTCAGGGAGCTGGGACTGTGGCTGACCAGCCGCCGGGCCCGGTGCTGGTAAAAGCTGGCACTGGGGCACAGGTTAATCCCTCCCATGCACACCAAGGCTCAGCAGAAACAGCCATAACTTGGGGGATGGCTTTGTAGCTACAGACAGGTTGCCCAGTGCAGTAACAGGCAGTGCCTGACATTGGTCTGCACCGAAGTCCCCCCAAGGCCAGAACCAACACACCCAGATTCAGACAACATCAGAAAGGGATCCTCTAAGCTTCACAAGTGTCATATCCAACAGGAGATCTTGGCAGGCACCAGGCCCTGCTGAGGTGAACTCTGCATCATGTGGAAAGCACCTGCACAGCAGCCTCCACACTATGGTCAAGGTTAAGCCTCACAGCCAGCAAGCCTGACGACTGATCCCAGCATGAACAGGCCAGCATAAATCAAGACTCAGACATAACAGGAGGGTCCACATAACCCGCATGAGGAACATTCCTGGAGCAGCCCGATCAGGAGATCAAAGAGACTATGCCACTGGTCCCACAGGGCACCTACCTAACACTTACGGCCACCCTGCCAAGACTGGGAGTCACAGCAGGTCTACCTGATGCACAGAAAAATACACAGAGGTAGCAAAAAAATGAGGAGACAAAGAAACATGCATCAATGAAGGGAGAGGAGAAATCTGCAGAAAAAGAGCTAAATGAAATGGCGGTAAGCAACTTACAGAGTTCAGAAAAAAACAGTTATAAGGATGCTCAAAAAACTTAATGAAAACTACAAGGTACTTAGAACTAAAACGGCATGCAAAAAGGATGCAGAACATGTAAAAAAGGAGCACTCAGAAATAAAGAATACGTCTTTATCCATTTTTGATTAAAGGTTTGTAGAATTTGTGCCCTAAAAAAACAAAACCCAAAAACCTATTTAACCCTGTTTTAGATGTGTTGCAAATACTTTCCTATTCTATTACTTGTC